AAATAATTCATTCTTACTCTTGACAAGGAACTCACACCATATCATGAAAAATCATCCCCCAAAAAGATATAGTTTGCACCTCCCTTTGACGGAGCCTTCGTTGGGTCATTATATCTGTGTATACGTGCTCCAGAACGCGTGTCGTCTTTGTCATCGAAGGGGTAGAAAATACTGTGATTGATAGTTTATCCTTTCAAATCTCGGCACATAATGTTCCTATTTCCTGTTTGATTATCGAGATGGCTTTTGTCAAGCGCTATGTCTTAAGCAAATTATCCCTATTTGGGTGTCTTATGCGGGCATGCCAAACCTCTCAACGAGTGTTAAATCTGGAATACTCCGCGTAATATGCTTCTTCCTAATTTTAGTCGAGCCTGTACGCTTTATCGGTTCATAAACCCGATGCAGTCGCCTTCTCTTTTTTTCAGATGACACAAGAAAAATATAAAAATCTCGATACTCATACCACGTTCTGCATGCTTGCCAACCGACAACAATAGTTTGTCAATTACTGAGATATAAAAACATCGCTCATGCGAGTGCCCTTTCCACCCAAACCGACCAATCTCCTTTGCCAGCTTTTTTATGAGTATATTTTTGACAACTGCAATAGTCAGTTTTATGCATGCGCCAAGGGCCTCACTCTGTGGAATGCGACGCTTCCTGCTGACCGACCTTCACCCACTGCGAATACCGCGGTATCATTGCTGACACGCTTCCGACCGGACGTTTTCGCTTTACATTACCAACTTAGTCACAATGAAAATACTTGCCCTCATATTTGCTGTTATTGCGAGTAGCACTACCTTTTCGAACGTTGCCTCTGTCGACCTTCTAATTTTCCAGTATTCCCACTTACTCGGAACGCTTTATCTGTTGCTTTTTTTCTGTGCACCTTCCCTGATTTCATTTTTTTGTACAGCTCTTCTTGACTTCAATCAATGTGATATTCTCCGCATTCTCCAGAAATGATAAGAACAAATTATATTCTGCCGTCAGACTGCTGAGAAGTACCACCAGTTGGTGCGACTCGTTTATTGGTATCCCATTATCTGGAGCTCCACAGCTAGCTCGTCAAATTCGACAGGATATTCCGCAACGCTCGTATCTTTATCCTTTATGAAATAGTGGAATCGTCACGCTCTCGCCATGCGATTTTATAGTTTCGAGTGATTGTAAAATTCACGTAGCGTTCAGCATTCCTCCATGGCAATGTTGCCGATTGTATCTTGGTCTGATTCTATTTTCAACTCCTTGCGCAATGATACTCAATACCTTGTCACCATTTATAAGCCACGACTCTGTAATACTGCTCTCATCATTTACGGATATGACACGCCTAAAAGGATCATCCTTTTACAGAATTCAAAGTGGTAGTAATTACCACATGTCGGTGCAGCTACCTTCACACATCGTTCCTGTAAGCTTGAGACCTGGGTCTTTGGGCGTGCGGACGGCCTTGCAGTGCTTCATCTCTTACTTTTTTAAAACATCACATGGACCTCGGTGCGCTTGTTTGTCATCGTGGTTCCGTTCGTTGTAGTGAAGGGAGGCGTGGTGATGGTCACGGGCGGCTTGGAAATTCATTGCTTAAGCGTCTTCACTGCTCATAATGGCATCGAGCAACGTTAGTGCCCTCACCGTGAGCTGTAATGGCATCAAGAAGAACGATTGCCTATTAATTACGACCTTGCTCTCTAAAAGTCCTTGGCCACTGTTGACTTGATGGTAAAACCAAGAGTAAAAAATTTATTATGTTTCAACGTCTTTCTTAACGAATGCATATCTGTACCAAAAGACTCTGCGCAAAAACATGATCTGGTAAGTGGACCATTAAAATCGCTGAGGAGCGTAAAAAACGGCATGGAATCCCACAATGAGCTCCAGATACCTTGGAATAAAAAAAATATATCAAGGAAATCTGAACCCTCAATCATGTAAGTGAAGCCATAAACTATTACCACACCACTTGGTACATCTGACTTTGTTTTATGTACCATACTGATGCATGTAAATACAAATAAAGCCGCAATATTGTCCCTTATCAGTATTTATCTCGAAACACTCCTGAGAGCAACGGATGCCGTTCGTAATTTAATGTAGGAATTATATTCGTTGATTTTCGATGTGTGTTGACATGCAGCGTCCGATCGTAGTGCAAGTTCTAGAACTAGCGACAAAACAGAAAAAAACGGCATGTGAAACGTTTCGTGCTTTCTTCGTGAAGCATTTACTTCATAAACATGTGCGATTGAAGACAGAGCTGCTTGAAATCTCGCTAGGCACGGAAATAGACCTGGTGAAGCAAAACGAGAAGTTTGATGATTAGTGTTAGATTGACTGCAGTAGGAAAGGTCGTGATCGAGGACGAGAGACTGATCATTCTACTTAAAGCTTTACCCCAGGAGTATGATCATATAATCCATATTATCGAGGCACACGAGAACGTGATGTTGCTGGACGCAAAAGAGATGCTACGCCGTGAGTTCGAGTTGGCTTAAAAGAGAGAGGAGAGAGAGCAAGCAATCAAGGCCTCGATGCGCGAACAAGGTGACGAGTTCGTCGTGAAAGAGTTAAAAGAAGACGACGTGGTGGTCGAGGTGGCCGGGGTGGTCGAGGTGGCCGTGGTGGTCGAGGTGGCCGTGGCGATCGTGGAGGCTACAATGGCGGCCGAGGACAGCACCAAAAGAAGAAAACTGGACCAGCATTTCGTGGGTATTGCTTTACTGCAAAGAGGACGGTGACAAGCGTGACGACTATACTGAGGTGATGAAATTGGAGAATAAGTTTGCTTTCTCGGCCACAATGAATGGTTCAGCACTGGCTGCTTGATAAGCAAGAAGCCACACGACGGGTGAAAAGATTGACTTTGTGGAGTAGCAAGTGTTCAAGATGCCAAGCATCAGCACTGTGGCTATTGGACAGCAATTTCTAGGGAGAGGAAAACGAGCTATGTGTTTTGTTGTTAGAGTTCAACAAACGATCAAGTTGACGGACGGTTTGTATGTGCCCCAACTATATAAGAAGCTGGTGCCCGTTCCGGCGTCGGCGGAATGTAGCGCGGTCATGCAATTTGAGCGCGATCAAGCGACGCTGGAAGTGAATGGAGAAGCTCTGGACGTGATTCATCGAAACATTGAGCTGTTCATGAAGCATTTACAACAGCTGAAGAAGAAACAAGCCGTTCGGTTAGATGCTATAATGCGTGGAGATTGGGCGTTATGGCATGTTCGACTGAGCCATATTTCCGCATCAAAGATGCAAGCTGCTGTAACGATAAATGATAGACTGCCTGGACTTCAACATCTAGAAGATAACGTGCTCGCTAATTTGGTGGCTGTGCTTAAGACAAGATGACGACGAGTCCGTTCGCGCGATGATTCGGCAGTGAAGTCAAGACTAGAAGCTCTCTGGAGGTCGTATGCACTGATGATGTGGGCCCAATAAAGCCCAAATTGAAAGGTGGGACCTTGTATGTGCTCACATTCATTGACGACTACAGTAAATACGTCTACGTGTATCTGCTTTCTCTGGAAGAAACAACCTTTTGATCGCTTTCGCGAGTTCAAGGCCCTCGCAGAGAACCGAACTAGCTACAGGAAAAAAGTGCGATCGTAGCGGTGGAGGGTACATAAGCGCGAATTTCAATTGGTTTTGTGCCACTAACGGCATCATGCATCAAAGAAGTGCTCCGTATTCTCTGCAGCAGAATGGATTGGCGGAGAGATTGAACCGCACGTTAATTGAAATTGAAATGGCCCAAGCAATGATGTATCCCATGGACGTGGAGCGACACTGGTGGGGAGAAGCCGTGATGACAGCTGCTTATGTAGTGAGTTAGTAAATCGTATGGTGAACAATGCGCGTCGCGACAAGACTCCAAACGAAGCTCTAAGCGGCACGCAGCACTCACTCAAGTACCTTCTAGTATTTGGATCTACCGGGTACGTGTATCTCAAGAAGAATGAGAGGGCAAAGTGTAACGCGAGTCGCAACGCTGCGATATGCAGACGGCTTGAAGGCATACCGAGTATGTGACCTCGAAGACAAAAAAATAGTCAAAATGCGCACAGTGACGCTCAATGAGTGGCCATCTGCTCATTGTCACGATGCTATTTTCATTGATAACGGAGATACCAAACGAAGTACGCGCTCGAGACGACGACGGCGGGGTGAGTGCGCCGATATGTGCAAGTGTACACACTGCCACAGACATCGAGATCAATGGAACGGGAGATGACCTTATGCGTATGGAGGTAGATGGCTCTTTTGTTCCAGCTGGCGAAGTTTTGCTTGAGGGGGGGCTCCTTGAGTGATTCTCGCGCCGTCGCTGACACTACACGTTCAGGCGAAACTTCGCTGGAAATTTTTTTTGGAAAGTGTACTGCGATCTTGTCACCCCAAATATACTAGAGCTGTCTCGTCAAGACTAAGCCACTACTTTCTACCACTACTCGCGATATTAAAGCTCCAGAGCAACCCAAGCGAGTAACTATGGTGATGATTGCATGTTGGTTAGCGGTAAATCAAGGTCTGGGCGTGGGCCTCGTATTAAACAGACTCGGCTATAATTCAACGGAGATGAAGATGATGACATTCCTCTGCTTGCAAATGTACTTCATGTGAGTTCACATGACGACGGTGTAACTAAAAGATCGGACCCTAATCGCACTCGGCTTGATAATTACGAGATCGCATCAGAGGCCACGGAAGTTCTTGCGAGCCATGCAGAAGCGATGGCATTACCCGAGGCCAAGCGGTGTAAAGAAAATATTTGCTAAGAACTCAGTGCACACGTTCGAGATCATACTTGGGATTTGCTCAGGCGCCCGCATGGCGCACGAGTTAGCGGGTTCAAGTGGCTATTTGCACACAATGTTGATGAGAGCGGCAACATTGTCCGATATGAAGCTCGCTTAGCGACGCTTGGCTATTTGCAAACTCGTGGCGTAGACTACTACTACACGTGCTCCCCGGTGGCGAGCACCAATACTATTCGCGCGTCCTTTGCGGTGTGCTGCAGCAAGTGTTTGAGGGGGTTGACATTAAAACCGTGTTTCTTAATGAATTGCTAGATGAAAATAGGTACATGGTCGTGTCACAAGGTGCTCGGGTTTACGATGGGTTTGTAGGCAAGCCACAGCGAAATGTATATGGTTTGAAGCAAGTCGATGCAGTCTGGTAAAAGACTATTCGAACTGCATTTGTTGACATGGTATTCGTACAATGCCGTGCAGATCCGTGTATGTTTGTCCGTCTCGTCAATGATGACAAGCCTCCTGTGTACATTGTACTCTATGTCGATGATATGTTATTGGTTGTACCGCGGATGCTGAGATAGATGCGATTTGTGCTGCAATTGGGCTGAATGAATAAGACTATCGTCTTTCGTTACATTCCAAGAATTATCATACACTCCGTCTATTCTACCACCAAATGGTGAAATATCGACCGAGTATGAGCCAGATAAGATGTACATCCAGGAAGTATTAAGCTTGAACCTGCCTGAACGTATTCCGAATTTTTCGGAATAAGATAAGCGAATGTACTCGCGTGCGGCTCGTGAGAGACAAACCTTCTCACCGCATATCAAGACATCATACGCTTTTTAAAATTGTTACGGCGTAAGACGCAGATGTTGCAAATTTTCTAACCATCTATCCTGGCTTTCTCATGCTTTTTAGCTACCAGTCAAAAAAGAAAGAACTGGTGGACTTGGACCAAGGTTGGAGAACTCTTATAACCGAAATGCCGACAAGCCCACTTCCAGAATCGATACAGGCTGCAACATCGATGTAGGATAATGTGTAACCCGCACCTAGCCATTCTGCGTTAGCCCAGACTATATTGAGAAGAGTAAAAATCATATGAGATTTAAAGCAAAGGTTCGCAAAAGTGCGGATCGTTAGACATGCAAGATATGTTGATCTTATTCAGGCTGTGTAAAACGATGATGTTTTGGCTACTGTGCATCACCCTAATACTCGCATGTGGTAGATCTTAAAAAGCTCATTTAATCTCGGCGTGTCTACCTTCCTGGGAGATTTGAAGGGTCAAGCCCCTCCTATTACGTGCTAGCCGACAAATGTGTAAAAAAATCGAGTCTGAGAAGCTTTTGATGAAAATGAGTTATGTTGAGCAATTCCAATTATCATGCACTCCGCCAATTCCACCACCAAATGGTAGAATATCGACCGAGCATATGAGCCAGATAAGATGTTTATCCAAGAAGTTTTAAGCTTGAACTTGCCTGAACGTATTCCGAATTTTTCGGAATAAGATAAGCGAATGTAGTTGCGTGCGGTTCGTGAGAGACAGCTGTCCCAAATCTTCAAGAAATCTCACAATTTTATCTATAGTCAAAAAATAAAAAAATTACCCAAAGATTACGGTTAGTAATTGCAGCGTACTACGTACCACGTGAGAACCATTCATTCTAATTTCGCTCAATCCTTCTAAAAGCTTCATTCTACAATAAGTTTCATCTCGAACACTATGCGCGAACCAGCTTTCTCCTTCAGACTGCATCTTTTTGCTGCTATGATTCTACTTGTCGATGTCTTTTCAGCGCTCTCCATCACGACTCAAACTTTCCGAAACGTGCAGCGGCATTCAACTGATCGCCAGCTGAGAGCGCGGGATTCACAAGCAAAGAATTATGTGATTCGCGACGAAGAAAGGATGCCACTCCGTAAACTTCCGTATGATTTGAACCTGAGTCTATCCTCCCCGCCGGTTGCAACATTGAGAACTGCTTTAGAGTTGTTATATCCTCAAGCTGGACCGTCGCAGCTCTGGCATTTTGAATTTGTGACACAAATGAAACGTGAACTGTCCGTCATGCAGTCGCACCCAAAAAAACTGATTTTTGATCAATTGATTGGCGCGATGCGTTCAATGAACCGCAACATGCATATGAAGTGGAACCACGCATCAGATATATCCGAGTTGAGCCCCTATACTCAACTAATCCTCCCCATCGCTCTAAAGCTCAGACAGAGACTGAGTGAAGGTGCATCAAATGATGCTGATTGGATGTCTCTTTTGATGAGATTGATACCTTACGGGTTTCTTCGTAAAGAAGTGGAACTATTATTGCGCACTGCTGGTTACGACAACGTGCAGAACTATATCGCTTTATACGATCAAATGTTGTCTAAAGTATCAGCTGAGGACACTTTAAAGTTTCAGCTTCTAGATTCCAACATCGCACCAAATTTCCAGGAACTCAATAAAGAATTCCTTTATCGCTCTGTATCCTTGCTCGCAAGCAAAACAGACGGCGTAACAGCGGATTCAATTGTTCAGACTACTTGCTGGAGCTTTATACTGATACAGTTGACCAAGGCTAAGTACCCACAGGATGAGCTGCAGAAAATTCTTGAAGACTCGATGCCTGCGGAAAAAGTGGTCGCAGTTATGAAGTCCTATAAGGAAGGCTTTCCGAATCCTGCACATCGCTAATCGAACGCTGTCGATACAATGGATTGCAAATTTACTGAAATGTTTTGGGGTCTAGCTACTTTTAATTCACACCTCGCAGCTGAGTGGACGAAGCTCTTTACATAAGAAGGTATAGGACAGATTTGTTGTATTACATAATGCATTAGTTTAGATTACTCTTACGTTAATGTAGCTGTATGGAATTTTAACGATAATAGTATCTATGCTTTTTTTTCGTGAAATATTTGTGTAATATGAAATGCTCACAACTTTAAGAGAGAGCACTGCCGGCAGGCGAAGTGGTGACTTATTGTTGGCTAGCTATAAAAATGTTGTCCACATAACATGTACGGAGGCTTTACGGGGAATTATGTTGGTGCTTAATACTGCTGCCGTATTTCTCACGGCGTCGTAGCCATTTTTAGGGGCCGTAAATTTTAGAATATCGCAAACAACCTGGTTATACCCGCCAGCTTTTCATTCATCTGATTACATTTTGTGTATTTAAAGACTTCGTACCTATTTTTATTGGAGAAGACTCTAATGTATTTCGTTACATTCCCACAATTCCCACGTACTCAGCCAATTCTACCACCACATGGTGGAAATCGACCAAGCAATTGAGCCAGAGGATGAGTCTTAGCCTCATCAAGCTGTGCATTCAAAGATTAAGCTTAAACCTGCTAGAACAAATTACGGACTCATCGGGATAAGATTCCCCGAATGGACTGGCGTGTGGTTCGTGAGCGACAGATGTCTCAAATCTTCTCACCGCCTATCAAGGCTTTCTCACAATTTATCTATAGTCAAAAAAATATAAAAATTACGTCGTGAGATGTAGATGTTGCAAATCGTCTCACCATCTGTCCTGGCGCTCTGATGCTTCTAAATACCAGTCAGAATAGAAGAACTGGTGGACGGTGGAGAACTCTTATAACGCCATGTCCATTTATCAGAATTCTATATGTGAAACCCGGCCATACGTTTTTAAGAAAAGTAAAAGTAAAATTCACAGCATATATCTTTTTATCGCGAAAATGCGTGATCGTTAGGCATACTAAATGTGTAGTGTAAGACGATGATTTCTTGGCTGCTGTGCATCGCCATACTACTCGTATGTGGTGGATTTTTAAATTGCCATCATTAAACCTGTGCGTGTCTACCTTCCATTCATCTGGAAGATTGGAAGGGTCGAGCTCCTACACAAATCTGTTAAAAATATCGAGGCTGAGAAGACACAAGGAGTAATTTAATGAACATGATTGAAAGACGCTCTTTTAGGGATGACTTGGACAATGTTTACTTGTCAATAAATTTTCAGAACTGGACTTCGCAAAGTCATGAATATTATAGCTCTTAAAGGGGTTGTGCAATACACTACAAAATATAGATATAGTGAGTAAATTACGAAGGCCATTATCGACTATAAACTCTAATATCTCGTGACGACGGCAATAGTTATAGAGCCAAGAGCCGTCGAATAAAATTTGAATAATTTGATAACTCTTTTGTCCTAAAACTTTGGCTATTTATGAGCCATTTGCTTAAAAGCGAAAACTCATTTAGCGCGTATACGGTGCCGCGGTAGCTTGTGCATGACATGATATTGTCCGAAAGAAAGCAGTGAAATTGTAAGTATTTGTCGAGGTCTCCAGATTTCATGCTTGTTGACAGATAAAAACAGCTTTGATATGGTACCTCCCAAACTTTTCTCTCCAAGAACGGAAGCCAATTTCTATACATTGCGATTTCCAAACTTTGACCATGGTCTATCAGGATATATCTGTGAGTCACAAGAAGAAAGATTAGGCTCAGAATGGTCAATTCTTGCCACAATGCGACGTGAAATATGACCAGTAGTACGGAGTGGTGTGCCCACCGTGCAAAACAAAATTTCACGGTTTTGTGACGATCAAAAGTATGCGCTTTATAATGAAGAGACCCAGAAAATCCTTGGGATGACAAACACTACTCTTTACATTAGGCACAAGCTTGTGTGGAGCCTAATATATTATCACTGAAGAAGTATGAAAGGAATTATCATCACACAAATGATATTAATATAATCTGAGAATGAGATTGGCTCATCGTCCGTCACGGATGATCCCGTCAATTTAACGGTTTGAAGGCCACTACATATCGGACCCTTCTACGTTTCCCAAAAATGACTCATACTCTGATATCAGCCATGGTGTACATTATCGCTCTACCTGAAAGTGATCCACTCCTTGGTCACCAAGTAGTACCGACAAGGGTCAACCATCCCATGGCTGGCTCTCATGCTGTCCAAGAGTCTCAGCATACATCCAAAACAAAGATGTGTCAAATCTGAAATGCTCTCTGAGCTTCGCTATCACATTGCATACTTGAAGCGTCTCAGAGCAGCAACACTGTTCTGAATCAGAGGGTCGCTCAGCTACAGAAGATGAAGAGGAATGCTTTGACTACAACACGGTCACTCGCATCGGACTATCCTGAATCTGCGATTCATGACATGGCTTCAGCAATCATATGTGTAACACACATGTGCTCACATTTTTATAAAGTCTCTAGAGTATAGCGCAATCGCTGTCCAATGTAGCATGGTCGCAACTAGGTGTCATAGATCGTAAACACCGCATGTGCAGGCAGCTTCACTGCTATAATCAAACCTGTTGCCTCATGAAAACTCCAAACAAAAGTTCTTGACCTCTGGCATCAGGAGATTGCCCATAGACATTTTGGTTTTCAGCCATAACATCACGTACACCCGTCAAACTTACGCGGTTATTTAAATGCACCAGGAATCTCAAGGAGTCTCTGCAACTCAATTGATATACTAATCGAACCATGATGGCCTTCCGAAGACAATTGAGTCTGATCGTGACTCCAAATTTACGTACAAGTTTTGGCAGGCTGTTATTACTGCTATGGGAACGCAGCATAACCTTTCATCGGCATTCAGGCCACAGACGGATGGACAAACGGAACGTACAAATCGTTCTATCGGAGATTATCTGCGAGGAGTCATCAACCCAGCCAAAATGATTGGGATACGTTTCTTCATTGGGCAGAGTTTGCGTATAATCGACGCGTGCATGCGACGATTGGTATGTATGTCACCGTTTGAAGCGGATCTTGGGTATATTCCATACATGCCCGACGATGTAGTGTCAGATCCAGAGTCCAAGAAATTGGAGAAAGCAGCAACATAGTTCTTACTCCGACAAGAAGCCTTCCTCAAGGTCGCGCAAGACCGTATGAGCGAAGCACTGGAGCGCATGAAGCATTATTACGACAAGAACAGATTTGTCCAAGACTTCAAGATTGGCAACATGGTGCTACTAGACGAAATGAATTTGGATATCCGTCACAAGGGGTACACACAGTCGAAGAAATTAGCTCCGAGGTTCATTGAACCTTTTCCGGTCCAGAAGAAGGTATCTCAAGACTCGTATGAGTTAGAATTATCGAAGAACCTGAAGTTGCATCCAGTTTTCCATACTTCACTGTTGAAGC